ATTTGTTTTTCCGTGATTCCGTGATGCCCGTTGCTTATAACACATCCTGAATTATTAAGTTCCCTTAGTCACTACTTACGATACTCTCGAGAAAGGAAGGAGTGGCCCATTCTATACCGGGACCACACTATGGTAAAGACTAAACAAAAAAAAAAACAAATTGAGATCTAAATGAAAATACTCCCTCTGTCAAAAATACAATCCACATAAATACATCTTCAAATGTATATTTGAAGATGTATTCGAGTACAATTTTTCCAAATATATCGCCGGCATAAAATAACCTATTACCCCAGTTTCGTCACCAGAATATATTCAAACCTAATTCCCCTAAAATCTCTACGTTTATTCAGAACTAACTCAGAATTCTCCGTCTCGGTTTATGAACGTCAAGCGTGGATCCTCGTATCCTATTCATACGTTATGGCATCTTTATATGTACGTACACGTAGTAGATTACGCCTCGAGATTGCTATGAATATGCCATCTTACAATTAGCTATGTTAATCAGAGTGGTATGTGTGTTTTGTCGATGTTAAATTCCGCATAGTAATACTTCTAATGTGACGTTACCATTATAGACATTGTTAATTTGGTGTCAAGTATTTTAAATGTTCAGATTATTAGATTACACAAAATAAACTATGTTGTGCAAGTAATGAATTAGATACTGCTATTTTAACACGTACATTGTAACAAAACCAATATTGTGTTCCAATAATATAATTTTTTGGAAAAAAAGTATGAATGAGATTGAATTCTTTAACAGTGGTAGTTCTTTTTTATTGTTAGGGACGCAAAGGAGCAGACGGTCTCTCTGATGGAAAGCGGCTACCGTCGCCCATATACATCTGCAACATGAGGGGAGTTGCTTATGCGTTCCCGGCCTTTTAAATGTTTGTAGCCAAGCTTTTTTAAATGCCTCATATTGTAAGGGGTGAACTGAAGACGGGAGCTCATTCCACAACTTAGATGTACGAAGTAGAAATGAACGGAATTAACGGACAGTAGTACTATGCCCAAGAAATGAGGGTGGACTCCAGCTATATGGCGAGAGCTATATTTGTATTTTTAAATAAAAGCAGATTGAACACGAAAATAACTGTACTGAAGTACTGACAGTTTTCAAATATGGTATAACATTAAAGTTATGGTATTGGAGTCGATTTCGAGGCATTATTTCTAGATATTCTTCTTAATTTAATATTTTAATTATGAACCTTCATAATCTAATATATATCTAATTATTATTACAATTTTTTTTTATGGTGAAAATTGAATGGCAACCCCCCGCTAACAGTATACGCCGGCGGGGCACCAGTGAAAGGTGATAGATGAGAATGAAAACAAGCCAGTTGGCCCATCATGATGAATTCATTAGGAATTAATCATGATAGTTTATAAAGGGGACCGCGTGGAGGTCAACCTAGTTGGGTATATTGCTAGCAATGGGATTCTTAGTCTCCATTACTAACAATCCTTTTCCTTCCCTAATTAAATTTATTAGAAGTTTATTTATTTAAATTGGTCCTTACAATAAAGATTACTGTGATATCAAATAGAAATTCTAATTTTGGAGATACGTTCAGAGAAACGGCGCTTCAGAATCGACCCCACTGTCAGTTATCATTTTATACTCTGGGAACATTAAGATCCTCACTGGGTTCGCATTATATTATTTAAATTTTATTCATTACCTTGAATCCATCTTGTCATATATATATATCAATATAAAATTTAAGATTTCATTCGGATTACCAAGTGTATTACCAAGCATATTGGTAATACTTTGTATTACTACTAGTATAGTATTATATTATCTGTGGTATTACTAATATGGTTAACATAAACTAAATATTAGAATACGTAAATAAATTATACCAGAGGGAAATTTTGTACAAAAGTCGTTTACTTGCGCATCTCTGTCCCATTCGTGTTTCTACCGTGAAGCAGTTGTGTTTGCATGGCTGTGTTTCGGTTTGAAGCGTGGGATATAACAGTGAATTTACTGGGTACAAAAGATTTACACTTGAGTCCTTAGGAATGGCAACGCATGGGGGGTTTCATGGGCGAAACATATTATAGATAAGATGTAGGTCAAAATTCAATGAGAAACTTATAAAGTACTTATTATTAATTATAATGAATAACTTATAAATTACTTAATAATTAAAAAAATACTAATAACTAAATTATTAAGTATTTAACTGTGTTACCACAAACTAGAGACATCACGCGTGTGGTTAGTTTAAGTGACTAAGTATCATAAACAGTGTTTATAAATTATTAAATTCTGATCCACTGCAATTTATTTCATTAGTTATTTTTGTAGTAAATAAGTTATTAAGTATAGCCGTGTGGTCCGGGCATAGAACAGAACACCTCCTCTTTTTCCATGGGGGCCGTAAGAGGTGACTAAGGGAAGGCGAGAGATGGGCAACAGCGCACCTCTTAAAACATCTCCAAAACCTAACTGCGGTTGCCAATACGCCTAGCAAGCGTTGCAACTATTGGCAAAACGTCTCAAGGAAGAGGCTTATGTTCAGCAGTGGAGAGTAAAAGGCTGATATGATGAAGTTATTAAGTGGAATTTATGAAATTTTAAAATAGAGTTTAACACATTATTCATAAATTAAATATGGTATGGATAGTATGGTATTAGCATTTGAGGATTTTGGCGATCAAATATGTACGTATTGAAAAAAAGTATCTAAGTGTTTCTATATTTTTTTTAATGTTAAATAAAATTTAGATTGTGATTAGATGGCGCTGTGTAATTATTTATTTATATATTTATGGAATTAAGAAATCTTAAATCGGGATATAGTGCATTCCGGACAAATTAAGAATGGCGGGGCACGGTTGTTGAGGTAAATCCACCCCGAAATACAATTTAGGGGTCAGTGGATACGCATGTCAAAAGCGTACACATCCTTTGATCCATTGTCGACTTGTCAGACACGTCCGTTTTGAAGCTGTATGAGCGATTAAGCCCAGTCCCTTCAGTTAATAATTCATAGTAAGATACATTTATAAAATTGCTGGAATAGTTAGTTGATTTGTTTTATTTATTCATTACTAGATTTTACCTATGGCATCGTCCGCGTGATCGGATATATTGATGGGCCGCGATGAAAATATATATCTTTCTTTGATTCAGGTACTTTGTGTATATCAAATTTTATAACACTTAGTTTAGTTATTAGGGGTAATAAACAAATCCGATATCACATTTATTAGTAAGGACAAATAATTTTCTTCAATTATAAGTACATTTTATAAATAACTGGTGTGTACAATAAAGAATTAAATATTTTAAATAAATAAATACATTTTATGATACAATTTAAAGTATATTGATTATATATAAATTTATTTTATAAATCCATATATTGGATTACTAATTAAAAAGCTTACAATCAATAATTAAACAATAAAAGGATATAAAAATATATAGGATAAATTTGAATTTTTAGGTTTTTTACTGTAGTGTAAGGGTATAAAAACAATAATTTACAGTAGAAAACAACATATAGGTTAAAAAAAATAGATTTAAAATGAGTGGCGATCCTCCACCATGCGTTTTTCAAGGCACTTTCTTCCACGCAACTTTCAACTATTCTTTGGAATCAACTTCCAGCAGCAGTATTTCCGAACCGATACGATATCATAACCTTCAAGAAAAGAGCATATTCCTTTTTAAAGGGCCGGCAGTACACTTGCAATGCCTTTGGTGTTGCGGATGATCATGGGCGGCGATAGTCACTCAGGTGAGCCGTGTGTTCGTTTGCCCCGTAATAAAAAAAGATAATAACATACCTAATTGGACACATCCATTTCAGTTTTATATTTTCGTTAGATAAATTTCAATTTATAATAGTGCCGTTTGCGCCATCGTGTTTCGACTAAGGGAATGATCGCTGTGACTTATAGATAGCTATAATAATATATGTATAAATTATGTATTACATAGGTTAAAGCTCTTTGGTATGCAAATGTTCCTATATTATTCTAAGAAATACACTTCTTTGCGAAAAACGGGTATATTTGCAGCAAAACTATAAAATAAACTATTTTAGATTTAATTACAAAAATATTCTATTAGAATATTACAAACTTGATGCGATAAAACAAATAATTACTACTATATAAGAGTCGGCACCGTCTTTATATCGATGAAACTGGAAAACGAATTTATGTAACCATCTAGGAGAAATAACACTTGAAATAAATTAATATTCATTTTTTTTTTACAACACAGGGGGCAAACGAGCATGCGGCTCACCTGATGGTAAGTGACTACCGCCGCCCATGGTCACCCACAACACCTACGGCATTGCAGGTGTGCTGCCGGCCTTTTAAAAAGGAATATGCTCTTTTCTTGAAGGTTATGTTGTCGTATCGGTTCGGAAATACTGCTGCTGGAAGTTGATTCCAAAGAGTGGTTGTGCGTGGAAGAAAGTGCCTTGAAAAACGCACGGTGGAGGACCGCCACTCGTCCAGATGGTTGGGATGAAATTTTAGTTTATGGCGGGTTGTACGATGGTGAAAATCTGCAGCAGGTATCAATCCGAACAATTCATGTTGTACAATTACCTATAATATGCCTTAGTTTAAAATAGTGATATCGATAAGTATCATAAAAGACCCAAATATTTTGTAGCGTAAAATTTTTTTATTTAATAAACTGGTCGCATAGATCCCATATAAATGTTTTTTGATTGAAGTGACACAGGCTTGGTCTTTATGTTATTAACTTACAACTTTTTACTGTGTAGAGGAAGCAATATGAGGCTTGGGCATATACATTTTAATGTTTTAGATTATTTTTTAATTAAAAGTATTATTTAGTTTCTGGGTAACCATATATTAATTTATTGAAATTAAAATAAATTCCTTAACCTCAGTTAGCTATTTGTACTATGAATTTTGTTTAAGAACAATACACATATCTACTTACATACATACTTACTTAGACAAACTGTCATAAAGAGAAACAAATAAAAATAATCGCATTTCACGTCCCATTGAAGTATGTAATTGGGAGCTGAAACAATTAACTTGTCGACCATACCTTACAGTAATAGGTATTAAGAGGATAATTCTAATTGCTATGTTTTCAAAATGTGCCTGTTGTTGAGTAACGTGTTAATCTCTTGTCTTTGTCTCCTTTACGTTGAAGCCATAGAGCCCACAGTGCACTGTAGAGTAAATGTTTTCTTTTTTAAGTTATTTTTTTTTTTGCCACGCTTTATATATATTTTTTTTATTTACACTTTATTGTATATAGGCAAAGATTGTTGAAATATACAACTATTTGATACATGGTGACTTGATGGTTTGACGAAATTTACAATGAATGAAATTTTATTTCAATAATATTTCATTTCAATAAATAATTTTTATATTATTTTATTATAAGCTCGTGATATTTTATTACCAGTACTAACTATAAATTCAGATTAATATTTTATTAACACTATAATTTGAGTCTAATGAAATATAATAGACGTACTCCAAGGCAATACGAAAAGTGACATTTAATTAACTAGGGTATTTATTGTATATTTTGGTTTATATATTTATGTGACTAAGTAGCACACATATTGTTTTGTGTAGATAAGGTATGGGGTTCGATGCACTATTATGTAAAAAAAGCATGAGAAATTAAGAAAACATTTTCATTAGGATAGAAATCTTTTATACAATTTTACTTTGTTCACTAAAATGTTGGAATATTAAAATTCTGCGAACGTGTAAATGTTAGGAGCGTGTAAACAATATCTTTCAAGTGATTAGTACTATTATTGAGTTTACTTAGAACTCTCAGTCAATTACTAAAGCAAACGAAGCGACTATTTGAATAATATAAACTGGGTGTTATTATTTATTTATCGGAATGGCAAATAAGCTGATGATCTACCTGATGGAAAGTAATGTCTGATTACAGATTTGTACAGTACCATAGATATCGCAGATATGATGTGATGCTTTTGTCTATGGTATTGTTGAATCATGCGTTGTCATTCCTAATAATGTTTATTATTTATAATTTTTCTATAACCTCGAATCGTTTAAACGTAGCATGAAAAAGCACTTAGGGAGCTGCCATAGTGTGGCCAACCGTGATTGCGGGGAGTCAGTGGACGCAGGTGGTTCAGGACCGTTTCTTATGGTAGTCTATGGGTGAGGCTTATGTTTAACAGTGGATAGATATTGGCCGAGATGATGATGATATATAACAAGAGACGTACATGGGTATTAAAGCTATTTACATAAACTGTTATGTAAATTATAACAGTTTTGACGTTTCGACCAGCCAGTGTAACAATAGTTACGATAACTTACGAGAACTAATATAGTAATGTCATGCCTCCAATCCTGAGGCAAAAGTATTTTTTTTCTATTCTCTCATAAAACGTACTATAAACCATGCAAAGCGAACGCCAAAGGCTTGTAATCTTTCTACCATTCAACAATGCTCATATTCAGGCAAATATAATCCAGGTGCGAAGTAATCACCTCCGACAAGATGGCGGTCTCTGTTTCGAGATACCGCCATGGCAGCACCTACCTGTGGAGCTTGAACAGCACTTATTGTCGCTGAAGGAGCGGTGGGGAAACAATACTCTGTACCAGCCAATGAGGAGGTTACAATTGGCCCTTGTCAATAGGTAGTTTTTTCTTGTTAATAATTTATTTATTTATTTGATCAACTGGGTGACAGCTTTACAATCTCCCAATACGCTTACCCAGGAAAGCGTCAGTACAATAACACATTATTTACAATTATAATTAAAAGATATAATATTAATGTGATTAAAATACCATACAATCACACAACAACAATAGAAGTAATATTTATTATTTAAATATCTAAATAGAGCTAGAGCATTTAGCTCTGTGGTCATCCTACGAATCTCCAGCAAGTTGTAGGCAAATACCTCTAATTGTGGAGATTTGCTCAAAACATCATTGAGTAGCTTTAATTCAAGAGAGAGGAGAGCTTGCTTGACCAACTTTGCTCTTCTTAACGAAACATCAAATAAATGTCGTATACGTACTTATGCTTTGTATCAAATATAATCGACATTTTACATTTAGTAATTATTTATTTTTAGATTCGTACATGTATGTGCACATGACGGACTTAATGCTGAAACTATTCTCTCCTAGCCAACCTTAGGGAAGTGTTAGAAATAATTGATATACATACATACTAAAATTTATATATTATAATTAATACACCTTAATTTTAAATATGCCATTGATTTTAGCTGTTTTCTTTTGTGTAATTTCTCTGTATTTGGAATATGATTTCTTCTAACCAGCGCTTTGAATATAGGCAAACAATACACATTTACAAGATTTCATCAACATTGGTTGAGTGATTTTAGAGGTTAGGGTGAACGAATATTGCGACATGGAATTTACAGATCTTTATAGTATAATATACGAATACATATATGTGCGCATAATAAAAATGAAGCCACTTATAACTTAAAGTAGACACGCTATTATAGAGCGACGATTACACCAAAATTGTGGTCATCTTTGTCAAAATAACATTCTTTTAGAAGAATAACAATTGTTATTGTAATAAATGAGTATTTCATCATCATCATTCGCATCAGACATTAGCTGTCCACTACCGAACATAGACCTCCCCCATAAGGGGAGTTTCGCCAGTAGTTGCCACGCTTGGTAGGCGAGTTGGCAATCGCAGTTAGGCTTTGGTGACGTTTTAAGAGGGACGCTGCTACCCATCCTCCGACCGTCAAATTTTTTTTGTTGCCTCTTACAACACCTATGGGAAAGGGGTCCCATTCTATGTTGAAAACACACAACAATAAATATTATTTGCAGCGAATTATCTCGTTACACGGACACAGTGCTGGCTCCCTTCTTAGATACATACCACAAGAACATCCAGACCTCCTATCAACAGATGACAGCAAAGATCCTGAGGAGAATTAAGGAAGAAATAAACGCGGCTGTACAGAAAAAGGCCAAGATATATTCGGAGTTGACGGATTTGGCCAACAAATTACAAGTACCAGGTCAGTTAGTGCATATTCAATTTTAAATCCATGATTATATCCATAATATCCCAATGCTGGGAAATGATCACCGTCAATTCTTTCCAAAAGTTCCTGTTCTGCTTAATCTTTAAATCAATTCAGTTTTAGATAGTTTTTTTAATAATTTTCTTTATCGATGAAAATGATAATTCCATCTAGGTTATTTTACGTTGGCAGAGGTATAAGAGATTCTCATTTCATCATTCTCATGAAGTCAGATCAGTTGGTCCACTGTAACGAATTCACTATGAATTAACTACCTTTAATAAGTTTGTACCGTGTTGTGATGGAGCAATAATATAATGTGTCACTATTCCTTTTCATTAATTTATCAGGAGATCGCAAGAGGCGATTAAAGAAACGAAGCACAATATACCAGTAAGAGAAAGAAAACTGGAAATAAAACTATATTCTATATACTTCTCGTGTCGATTTCTACGCATTCCTAGCAGTAGAACGTTAATTGGTAGTTAAGTGTACGAATAAATAGGCTAGGCAATAATGAAGCTAGCTAATAGATGAGTCAGCTAATTGTTCAGCCAGCTAATGGATAAACAAACTCATAGATAAACTAGTTAATAGGTAAACTAGCTAACAGATATGTTACCAAACAGATAATTAAAAAAAAAGGACAGCAAACAAATAAAGATGAATATTTCAACAGCAATGTGTGCAGAAGAACGTCGTTTAGTCCGAAATTTGGCTAGTAAACATGTCGCTCAAATGTACAAGTGCACGGAAGAAGCAAGAGCCTCTATTGCCAAGATGGGCAAATACGCAGAAGAGATGATAGGCATTACTAGGAATCATATGCAACTGATCTTGGATGAAACAAGCAAGTCATTACTCCTGAAGAGTCAAGTCAGAGCGATGCAGAAGTAAGTTATTTAGTTATTCTTGAAGAGCAGTTGAGAACTGCTTGTGAATTTTAGTTGTGCTTACATGTGTATGTACATGTTCCAATAGTGTGAGTGTCTGACGGTGGTAGATATCTCAAGATAATAACAACAATATGATCTTCATGTAAAAGGTCCTTTGCTTTTAAAAAAGCAACTAGTTCTCAAGTATGACGACCCATGGCAATTACAGTAGATTTTGTGAAAAGTATGGTGCGCGTCAGATTTGCAGAAGGTGAATTTTACTTTCCCTGAATTGTATGGCCAAATTCTTTGCCATCCCGAGCTAAATAAAATTTCCCATTTCAGAGACGAAGTTAATACCAGTTTGAGGAAACTATCCCGTGAAGCAGTCTTCCTAGGTTACGAGCTGGATCTGAGTTTGACAAATGCACGTCGTCACAATGAACAATCCTGTGAAAAACTTACAGCTTGCAGCTCGAAAGTGCGTAAGAATACAGAAGAAGCGGTGACATATCTGCGAGATAAACTATATCAATGTGTCTACGCTTAATTATTCTAATAAGTAATCTTATAGGATACATAATTAAAAACAAATATTGTTTGTATCCCATAATTTATCATCATCATCATATTAGCTGTTATTTGTCCACTGCTGAACATAGGCTTCCTCAAGAATCTTTCTTCTCTATTGGTTATCACTTCTTCGAGATATGTGACCAGCCCGTTGTCACTTCACCTTCCTTAAGGCTATGCCAGTCACTTTGGTTATTTTTTTATATGTTTATTATTTATTTATATGTTTTGTACATTCACTTATAGTATAGATATTTTTTTTTATAAATGAAAATGGTATGGTAACCCCGCCTGCGCTAATGGGATACGCTGGCGGAGCACCAGTGAAGGGTGATAGATGAGAATGAAAACTGGCCAGTTAGCCCATCATGATGAATTCATCAGGAATTAACCATGATAGTTTCCAGGGGGAACCGCGAGGAGGTCGACCTGGTTGGATATATTGCTAGCAATGGGATTCTTAGTCTCCATTACTAACAATCCTTTCCCCCCTAGTATAGTTATTAGGTTATAGCAGAAATGTACGCCGTTGGACTTATCCCTTAAAGGGATTTCTTCCAGTCAACCATAAAATCCGAAAGGAGAAAGTGTCTATAGAGTTTATATATAAAGCAAAACAAATATGGTGCAAAAATAATACGATAAATAAATAATAAATTATCAGTAGCTATATAGTTAGTAATAGAGTATACATAAATACGATATTGTCTCTATTTTTAAACCCATTTTGATGATACTTTTTACAATTGATTTTTAATGTCACATTAATTCTGTTATAAGTGAAGTATTACAGAGCAAGATGTGCTTGTTAAAAAAAAAACGCGTCGACATTGAATTATTCATATGTTTTAATAATATCAAAAGCGAGGTTTCATATCCCATTAAAATTTATATATTAGGGAGCGACGTTTAAACAGCTACCCATTTTGGTTAATACACACATAATATATACAATTTTAAGTAAAATGGAGTTTGCATAGAAATGGGCAGTGTGTGAATATTACTACTCGTTTCAATAGTAAGTACTTGAACGTGTAAATGAATATTTAGGATGTTTATTTTGTTACCTAATATTATCTAGACTGTATGTATATTAGGTATTGGTAATATGGATACTGGTTCGATATCTATATATTGGGTTTCTCTGGATAATAATGGAAGAAAAACAGTCATCAGCCATTTCGATATCGTTCAAATTGATCGGATTTTTTTTTTTTTTGAGTACGGTGAACGTCTGTTGTTCAATATTATTTTTTGAATTTGATGAATGGGACTGAGAATTCTCAAGTCTCAATTCTCAAGTGAGAAAAGTCGAAAATTATAAAAAAGTTATCTTCACCAATTTGTACGTCAAATGGATTTTGAGACTGCGCGATTAATATGAATCACGCTTAGTTTGGTAGTATTAGTAATGCCCCTGGTAGGAGGGGAAGGGATTGTTAGTAATGCGGACTATCAATCCCATTGCTAGTAATTTATAACCTGATAGGGTTATCAGATCGACCTCCACGTGGTCTGCCCTGGAAACCATCGCGCTGAATTCCAAGTGTATTCATCACGATGGGGTAACTGACCTGCCCTTTCATCCTCACTAATGTCCCGTGAGCATATACCGTTAGCAGACGGGGTTACCATTCCATTATCATCCATTGAAAAAAAAAATCCTGGTATTGCAGGCGTCAATAGACTACGGTAGCTGCTTACCATCAGGTGGGCCATATGCTGATTTGCCACCTCGGTAGTATAAAAAAAACTTGATGTTGCTATGTGACATGTCCTACTAATGATATTATCCATTTTTCAATAACAATCAAGCCGTATTGTTATATAAAAAATTGTGGTAAATCTCAAACATTACCCATCTATTTATCAGTCGGTTGAAAGTCACCTTTTAAAAGTCCAGAGAGGGGCTAATGAGCTGCGGTCCTTGACGTTTTATACAAATATTTAAATTCGTATTTACTTAGGCTACCTACGTATCTAACAGAGAAACTATGGATAAACAAAATCAACTATTCCGCAGAGTGGGCAATGCCATTGACCCGGGTCTGGAATGAATCAACAGTAAACTTGTGTATGCCCAAACGAATTGATTGAATGTTGGAAGCTACAAAAGTGATTGGAGTGTATTGTGTATATTGGTATATATATATATATATATATATATATATATATATATATATATATATATATATATATATATATATATATATATAATATTACCATCCCGATATTTATGTATTTTTTTTAATGGATGATGCCCCGCCTGCGCTATCGGTATACTCGTACAAAGGCGGGGCACCAATGAGGGATGATAGATGAGCATGAAAGCAGGTCTGTTAGCCCATCGTGACGAATACATCAAGTATTAGTCAAAATGGTTTCCAGGGGGAACCGCGTGGAGGTCGACCTGACAGGCAAGCCCTGTTAGGTCGACCTCCACTAGCAATGGGGCCATTAATACTCATCACTAACAATCCCTTTCCCCCCGATATCTATATATTGGGTTCTGAATATTATAGCGGCAAAATAACATTACCTATTTCGGTATCACCGACGTTAGTCAAATATCTACGTTAATAGGGAGGAATTGTTAGTAATGCGGACCACTAGTTCCATTGCAAGCAATATACCCTGTCAAAACGACCTCCACGTGATTCCCCCTGGAAACCATCGTGTTGAATTCCAGATATATTTATCATGATGGGCTAACTGGCCTGAATTTTCATCTCACCTATCATCCCTTACTGGTGTCCCGTCAGCGTATACCGTTAGCGCATGCGAGGTTACCACTCCATTGTCATCCTTAAAAAAAAAACAAGCATGTGTAATATCGGTACCACTCCGACATCTATATATTGGGTACTTCTGGATATTTAAACGGAAAAAGGACTTTCGGAAAATTTCGGTATCGATAACTGATACGGTACCCATAATCCCTTCTCTTCCGGAAGGGTACAAGTTGGATTGATATAAAAACTCTGTTTGGAATTCCTTGAAATTATGTGCAACCCTTTTTAATCCCATATTTTTAAATGTAGATTATATTTTAAAAGTGTCCAGTTTTAAAATACATATATTGTATATTTTCCCGGTATTAAAAAATATTTTTAACCAACTTCAAAAATAAATAAGTTCTCGATTCGGTTGTATTATTTTATATTCGTTACTTTATAACTTCGTTAGTTGTAAAACGATTTGGAAATTTTTTTTTACCTCAAAAGATATACTCACAGATTCGTCTCATAGAAGTTTTATCAAATTCGATCCAATATTTTAGTTTTTAAATCATAATAACTGGTTTTATTATAATTGAAGTCGGTTTTTTTTGTGTAATACAATTTAATTATATATTTTAATATATTATTTAAACTACACTAGATGGAGACTGTACAAAAGTCAATTGCATGGGCACCTCTGTCCCATTCGTGTTTCTACCGTGAAGCAGTTGTGTTTGCATAGCTGTGTTTCGATTTGAAGGATGGGATATGGCAGTGAATTTACCCTGTAAATAGAGGAATAATACCTGAAATGGCAACGCATGGGGGGTATCATGGGCGAAACAGTGTACTCTGTTATGTCCGTCACCTATAGACATGAGCAGTAGCTCATGTCTATAGGTGACGGTTACCACTTTCCATCAGGTGGGTTGTTAGTTTTTGTGCCATTCTAAGTTGCTTAAAAAAAACAGCACAACTAACTCGCAGTATATAACTAGTTTCCGTTATGACACGTTAATTTTACTATTAAAATAAACGTTCGTTTTATGTCTGCGACGTGAAGCGTTTTCGACTTGCAAAGACATTAAAACGTACTCAAAATAGTTGTATTGTTTATTTCACAGCTGAAAGGCCTCTAGACCCTTGTCGTCGTTGTGCCCTCCCTAATTATGACCTTTTGCCCACCCCAACTCACAGTTATTTCACAAAGAGAAATCAAATTATTCAAATATTTAGACAACACGGCTACCGCAAATGAATTTAGATTAGTAAACCCGAAATTAAATGCGCGATGGAACTCAAATTACTGGATGTTGTTTGATTTATTTTATTATGAAATCATTCAAAAGGGTAATCATTTAATATACGTATATAATATATATATAGATATATATATATATATATATATATATATATATATATATATATATACACATACATACATAAATATATATAAGTATATCAAATTATGTGTATAATATATTTAATGAAATTTTGTGAATGTGTGTGTGTGTGTGTGTGTGTGTGTGTGTGTGTGTGTGTGTGTGTGTGTGTGTGTGTGTGTGTGTGTGTGTGTGTGTGTGTGTGTGTGTGTGTGTGTGTGTGTGTGTGGTTGTGTTTGTGTGTTTGTTTATAAGCGACGGTTACCACTTTCCATCAGGTGGGCGTCAGTTTGTTTTCCAAAATTATAAAAAAAAAACATTTTTTTTTATAATTATTGTGCGAATTTTCCAAATCATTTTACAATTGATGGAGTTATGAGGTAACATTAAAAAAATATAACCGAATTGAGAACCACCTTCTTTTTGAAGTCGGTTGAAAATAATTAAATTTCATAAAAGATATGATAATTTTGTTTAATTATGCTAAGTATACATATCGTCATAGTCGTAGTATACTGACGGATCTGACAAATATATATATCCGTCAGTATTCTACGACCATGACGATATGTACTCGTATATAATATCGTATGATCAATATTTCAAGGAGTAGGCACTAAAACTTATACCGTGACACCCCACGTCTCCGCACAATAATGCCCCACGTGGTAAAAATACCCAGTGCCGGTACACTCCGAGGATTAAAGGAAGTACCCCTCTCTCGTGGAATATGATATTTTTATGACTTCACGCCGAGAGACTAAGGAAGTGAATTCCTGTGATATGTTTCGTTTCTTGTTCACTTCTTAGCGACCGGTAACTACGACAATTTAATGATTATGATATGGTTTTCATATATATATATATATATATATATATATATATATATATATATATATATATATATATATATATATATATATATATATATATATATATATATATATATATATATACTACGATTCACTCGTGTTAACACGTTAATATGGAAAGTATTTCACACGTGTTACGACACTGAATAACTTATTCCTGAACAACGGTCGGAGATTGATGAATAATATAGAAGATTGTAAAACTTCTACTTAGAGATCGGTAATATTCAATATCTATATATTGAGATCTTCTGGATATTGGTGACTACGTATTACGATAACGCCTATACCAATAAGATATCTACCATATATTCATTATACTTATTTTTTGTTCTTGTTTTTCTTTGATTACTGATATTTTTGTTTTTTACGTATTGTTTTGCGCATGTTTGTGTATTGTGTTAATATGATTTATGATCTTGATGGACTAGGTGATGAGGTGCTAATTGAAAATCAGCGTTTCTGCTTGCTAT